GCTCCAGTGTGCTCAACCCGAGCAATGCTCTTGCAATCCCTCCGTAGTTGAGAAAAGGCTCCTTGGGGGGGAGACAGCATCCTTCAGACCCCAGCAGCCAGGAGGGATGCTACCCTTTTGGTTTGGGGTAGAAGGGTTCTGTGGGATACCCTGGTCCCCAACCATGCTGGGTGTGCACTGGGTGCAAGAGCAGGAGGAAGGAGGTTCCAACTCAGAGCCATGCAAGACCCCTCTCCATCCTGCAAAATCAACCTCCACCTTGCATGAGTGGCCCACGTTCCTCTGGGTTTCTGTGTCCATGGAAAACACGGCCATGGGAGTGAGGAGGCTGCCCGGGACGGAGCATCAGGTGATGCTGAGGCATCTCCCGCTGCCATCCCGAGACACACGACAAACATCTCAGGGCACCATTTGCTCAAGAGATGCTGCCAGCAAACACCCACCCCCGGGGCCACAAAGCTCCCAATCCCCCCCCAGGGCTCGCTCTCCGGCCGGGTGCATGGGCAGCGCAGGGCCCGCGTGTCTGCTGGAGAAGGAGCACACCTGGAGGTTGTTCCCCCAAGCTCACAGCCCCCAGCTCCAGGGTGTGCGGTGGGCAGCCAGGAGCCGGAGCTGGGCCACAACGCACCGTGTTCCCCCCTTCCCTGCCAAGCTGCACTTCCAGTCCCAGCTCTGCCTAATTAAATAAAAAGCCTGGAAACACCAGTGGTGACTTTGCTCCTCCTTCAGACAACCCTTCCCAGCCAACAGTCCCGTTGGCTTCTCACCCCAATCGGCCAGTACGTGGCAGGGATTTGGAAACCCTTGCACACCCTTTCGTGGAGCCCAAAATGCAAGCGGTGACTCGCCGGGGAGCCTTGGAGCAGAGACAGCATTTGCGGGGTGCTCGTCACGAGGAGGGAGCAGGGATGCATGGAGCCTCTCTCCTCGCTGCTCCCAATCCCTGCCGGCTGCCCCTCTGAAATGCATTACCATTCCCCGCTGTCCCCTCTCCCCGAGCCTCGGCAGGGCCAGCGCTGCCTGCGTGCGGGTGGCAGGGCCAGGGGTGTGGGGGATCCCTGTGCACGACAGCCCCTGTGGCCACACCGGGCCACTGTGGGTCATGCTGGCGAGCACCCACCCCATGCCAGGCTTTTCTGGGGACTTCGGCACAGGAGCTGTGTTGTGCGCGCTGTTGGCTGACCCTGTCCCCTCCCTGCCTGATGCTGGCCAGCCACAGCCCCTGCTCTGTGTCCTGGCTGCCCCAGGGATGCCACCAAGGCAAAGATCCCCCCACATCACTTCTCCCCTGCCTACAAATCTCTGTGGGATGCCCTCGCTGCCCAGGACTGGCTGCCATCTCTGCCTGTGGACCTCCGGGCATGTTATCTCGCCCTGAGGGCTCCCAGGCATTGGGTGGCCACACGTGGCTCGCCGGGGACCCAAGTCCTGCCGAGGTGTCGCAGGGTCTTGGCACCCAGCACCAATTTGTGCACCGGTGGGTTCGGCGTCACAGTGAGGAACGACACCGCGAAGCCGCGATTCGAGCTGTTGGCGCTGTATAAATGTTTTCAGCATCACCTCTCAACATCTCGCCACAGGTCGGGAGAAACTTGAGGCACTTCAGACGCAGGGAGTGTTCTTTAGCGGCGTTGTCAGTCCTATTGGCGATCTACAATGTTGTTTTGCTGCTGCTGTGTCTGGGGCACAAAAATTGCCTAAAATCACCGGCCGGGAATTCGCACCAGGGAAGGAAGGAAACATCCAGGGATAAGTGCAGAGAAGAGCTGGTGAAGCCAAACCCTGCCTGTTGAGGCTACGAAGCCTTTCAATATTAACGTAGGCTATAAAAAGTCAGAGGAAAATCTCCTGACGCCAAGTGCGCAGGGATATAACGGGACGACAAAATTCAGGGTCGATATTGCATGAGAAAAACCCACCCAAACTATGCACAGCACAGCGGGCTCTGCCTTAATGTTGCTCCCGGGAAAGCTGTTGGGCTCAGGGCAGAAATCTCCCCCAAAAGGCCCATTTGATGCTCGGAAGCAGCAAGGGAGATAAAAAGACTGGGTTTGTTAGAAAAACGACTGGTGAGAGCGAGGCAGTGTTGCTGTGTATAAAGTCGCAGTCCTCCCACACCTGAGCCCATCCCCACCACGCAGGGGATGCAGGAGAACCAAAAAAGCACCAAAAGCAATGACAGGGTGAGAACCGCTTCGGTTACGCTGACAGGCTGGAAGACGAGGATTTTTCAGGCTGGGAAAATCACACTTAGGGAGGAAGTTGGGAACAGCCTGTGAAATCGTGTGTGGCAGGGAGCGGGTGGGCAGGGACCATGGGATTTTAGTCTGGGCCCCCCCCCTCTGCCTTACACTCCTTCACCAAGCAGTCTGTGCCAGGAGAAAAATCCCCAAAGCAACAGATCTCTGGCTTGGTCCAGTGGATCTGGGGACACCGAGCACCCCGGAGCAGTCGGTGGATCCCGGTGCAGCTGCAGGTTGGCTCCTGCCCCTGTCTCCCTGTACATGAAGGCAATTCCTGCCCCAGGAACGGTCCTACACCTGTTGGGGTCTGGGAAGCATCTGACATGAGGGGGTTTGGTCCTTTTTGGGGGGGGGTCTTGTGCTGATGAAGGGTCATGGATCCCTCCAGCAAATGGGTTGGAGCCCATGTTTGAACTGCAAAGGGCTCAGTGGGGTGACACGAGCTGGGAGTGTGCTCAGCCGCACTGGCCTGCTAAGTTTTCCAGCAATGCTTTTGGCAGAGGGAGCCTTCCTGGAGCCACCGAGCCCGGCAAAGGTGTCCCTGCAGCCCGGGTGTGTCCTCGGACAGAGCAAGGGGGACCAGCGACAGCGACTGCACAGCGAGGGGCCCAGCTGGGACGCACAGGCTGTGTGCAAGTGGCACCGACACCGGGTGTCACATCCCCTTCCAGCCCCGCTGACAACCCCCAGTCCCACCCCGGCCCCACGGCTGCCTCCCCCCAGCCCCAGGGGCCGCAGCACCACACCAGCGGGGAGGGAGCCAGCCATGAAGTGGTTAAATATCTCCTCCAGGAGCAGCAGAGATCTAACAAAGTGTCCCCCCCTCATTTATGCCCCACGGTATTTGCTATGATCTTGGCTTTGACAATAGATACAGAGGACGAGAAAGGGAAAAACAGGGAGAGGAGTCATTTGTGGGGCAGCCCCATAGCCAGGGCTCTCTCCTGGGTGAGCCTGCCCCCAACACATGCTGCACTGTCACCTCTGGTCCCTCAAAACCCCAGAGCTGCCCCCCACATGTCCATGAGGAAGCAAGTTAGCACTCCAGGGCTCCTGGACTCCCCATGGCAAGGGAAAACCTGGGCTGAAGACAAATCTATCGTCCCCTTTCCACGCCCTGAAGCACCCTGCTAGTGCCCTCCCATGTGCGGTGGGACAAACTTTGCCCCTGCCACCGGGACCCTGAGAGGGGCTGCCCTGCCCTGCCACAACGCAATCTCTGCCTGCACACCCAGCACCCCCCTGAGCCCCCAAGCAAAGCTGCTGAAGGCTCCGAGACCCCCTCCCCATCCCAGCCTGCCCCGACTGCTGCTGTGGCCAGACATGCGGGGCTGGCAGCATGGAGGAAAACCTTTCTCCCAGTGCTTCTCCAAGAGTTTGGGGCACACTTGCTCCCTTTTAACCCTCGCAACAGCCATCACCGAGCCTGTCCCGATGTGTTTTCCTACCTGACAGGGATCTTCACCCGCAGGTATCGATCCACGGCGATGGCCAGGAGCGCCAGGATGGAGCTCTCGGTGAGGATGAGGACGGGACAAGCCACCATGAGGCAGCTGTAAAACTCCGTCTGTGGTCCGATGTTGATGATGATGGCCAGGGGGATGACCAGGGCCCCCACGGCCACGTCGGCCACAGCCAGCGAGACGATGAAGCAGAAAGTGGCATCCCGCAGCGCCTGGTTCATCTTCACAGCCCAAATAACCAGGATATTTCCCGGCACGGACACCAAAGCGATGAGGACTTCGATGGAGATGTAGGCAGCCTGGAAGGCTGAGACGGCGTGTGCCATGATGCTCCGGTCCCCTCCCCGCTCGCCCTGGGGTCCCTCCGTCACCTGCAAACGCACAGGGAGGTGGTGAGGAACTGGCATCGTAAACTGGGCTGCGAGAGGGGATGGAGCCTGGGCGGGGGGTGGGAAAAAAAAACCCCAACCCCTCTCCTGTCTGTGCCGGCCCCTGGGGCTCCGGCCCCCCCGGGGGCTCATCCTGCACCCCCCCCCATCCCGCTTCGCTACCGCTCCCGGA